TTTTTTTTTTTTTTTTTTTTTTTTTTTTTGCATATCTAATTCCGCACACAAAGTGGAAATTAGTTAGGGAAGTTGTTATGATTTGGGAAGACTTCAAAATGCAGTGGAGTAATCTTGTTGGCGGACGAGATTTTTTTATCAAGTCTTTTTTAAGATTTTGCTCAGGTTTTTCTCCTTGGCTATCGCGAGTGATCTTTTTAAAAGCCAATCGTTCCGTTCTCATTTAAGTTCACTATCTTTCTCCTTTTGGTTTTTTTACTTTAGTTTTACTAAGTCTTTTTGTTCTGTGTACTTTTAATAGTTGCCTGGATGTACCGTAACAAAAAAGAAAAAAAAATATTTTGTCTGGTTTTCCAATTCTGGAAGGTTTTTTTTTTCATTGGGGAACGGTGTTTTTTTTTTATTTTTTATTTTTTTTTTGTAGATACTTTGTAGTGGCTGGTTTTATCGCTTGTCTTGGTAGTTTTTTTAAGAAATTGTGTTTTCTAGATTTTGATACCGACGAAGCACTGAATGAGCTGGAAAGGTTGGGGCCACTGCCGTCTAGTGCGCAGTCTTCTGTAAACGGTGGTAGTATGGATCCTTTGTCACAGCAGCCTCCAAGTGTACATGCTGTGAGCTGGCTTTTACATTAGAAATTTAATGCATTATTACAGTTTCTTTTTTATTTTTTATTTTTTTTTTTTTTAAGCTGACAAATGGTGGTCCATCATCTGTTGGTCCCGGCGGACCAGGAAGTCAGCAGTCTGGTCACTCATATGGAGGACCGGCTTCACAGCAGTCATCAATGACATCCGCACAAGCACATAGTGTTGTTCCTCAGCAGCAAAGTAGTTCACAGCCTAGTGTCCTACAAGAGTTATTACTTACTTCGTCAAACCCCAATAATCAAGCACTAAATAGTCCTCGACCTCCTTATTCAAGTCAATATCAGACGAGGTAGTTCTTTTTTATTTTTTTGTTTATTTTTTTAATGTAATGCTTATAACACTGCAAAAATGTAATTCCTCGTTCCTTAATTTCGAACAAAAACAATTTTTATGGGAGGTAGTTCTTCTCATATTTCTGTTCAGAAGCCCCATGACAAGTGGTGCCAATATAGTTGGTCCTGGTTCTGCACCACCAAATTCCGTGGTAGCTGGTGGGCAAATGGGTCCACGTGGTATGAGACATGGAGCACCCCCACAGATGTTTTCATCACACGTAGATATGCAACCAGTATGTGAAGTTTTCTAGTATCAGTTTATGATTTTTTTGAAGAGTAGCCAAGCGTTTTATTATTAAAATTTTATTGACGTTAAAGAACAACGCTGGGCCCATGGTGCATCCTAATCAGTCGTCTTACGTTCAGTCACAGATGATGGTATCTCATAGTGGTCAGCAGCAAATGCCAATGAGTTATGTATATCAGCCGTCAGGTAAGGGTACATACATTTTATTTCTATTTCGGTGTATCCTGTCGCGACCGTTAGTATTTCTTTCGTTTTTTTAGGTCCACCAAGGCCAATGTATGCTGGAAATGTCAGAGGGACAGCTACACAGTCAGGTATGGGGAGAGGTGGCGGCGCAATGGTTATGAATGGAACAGCTCAGCATCCGCGAATGCGCGGTGCTCATCCAGGTACTATTTCTTGTTATTGTTTTGGAACGTGCTTTAAAATTGGTGAAACTTGTCTTTATTTCAGTTCATTAATTCATATTTTCATCATGTTATATATCTACTCAGGTGTTATGATGCAACAAAGTAATAATGGACAGATGATGAGGAATATGATTGTACAGCCGGCTAATCAATATGAGCAGGCGCCGTATGGAATGACTACAGCTGGAAGTACTCCTATGCAACGGGCTCCTACCGACCCATATGGGATGCAGCCTTCACAGCCAAGTGTAAGTCAAAAAATGTACTTGAAATGCGTACTGTTTTTTTTTTACCTAGTTTATTTTTAGGTCATAGATTTGTGGCTCTAATTTATAATCATGAAAGTATTATATTAGAAGTTTGTCTAAGATATTTAAGTTTTTTTGAAAAGATTGTTGTTTAGCAAGGAGCAATGCATTCTCCTAGTTACCCGCAGCTTCCTGGTATGGTTTCGCGTGGTCAGCCCATGTCATATGCAAATTCTGCTAACCCAACGATGCAGCAGCCTAACACGGTAAGGAAACCCGTGATTTCTGTGTTCATACTTCTGATACTTTTCGTAGTTTACGAATTGCGACTTATAAAATTTTATCGTATAGATGATGCCACAAATGATGGAACATGGTATGATACCGTCACAGCAGCAATCGGTCCAACCGGGAGCTTCAGGACACACGGCAGTTATGCAGTCTATGGGATCAGTCCCTGCAAATCAGGTAAATAAACCGGGGATGATGCCCGGTGTGTCGTCGCAGATACCTGTCTCGTCAGCGCCTACAGGGCAAATTCAGCAACAGGTAATTTTCAAGTCTTAAATTTCAAAAGGAAAGAACGATGTTTCCTTAAATTATTTGTTTTCCAAATTTAATTCTCACTCTCTTCTTTTTTTTCTTTACAAGTTTGATTACATCTTAGTTCCCCTCCACTTCTGCCGGACAGCGCGATGGTGGTACTTTGAATGCATCTTTAACGAACAGCTCGCAGAGTGGACAGGATCCTGAAAAACGAAAATTAATTCAGCAGCAGCTTGTACTTCTGATTCATGCTCATAAGTGTCAGCAACGGGAACGGGACGGAGTAGGATATTCTGTCGCTTTCAACTCTTATCAATGTTGTAATTTTATTTGGTAGTTCTTGTCTTTTTAAGGATATGGCAAATGGTCGTGTTTGTACATTGCCGCATTGCTCTACAATGAAGGAAGTCTTACATCATATGACCTCTTGTACTAGCGGTCGGGCCTGCACGTGTAAGTTAAATTAGTGCCTTGATTTCTCCTTTTGCACTTCAGTTTGTATAACGGGTTCTTTTCAAAATTAAAAATTTTTTGGACCGTACATACTTTTAGTTCCACACTGTGCTTCATCTCGACAAATCATTTCACACTGGAAGAATTGTGTTCGTGAAGACTGTCCTGTGTGTAAGCCTCTGAAGTCTGTGCAGAATACATCTCCTGGAGGCGACCGAAGGGCGGCTGTTGGTAAGTTGCTTTTTTATAGCTATTCTTAACACTTCATGAAGCCTACATTTTACAAGTTTTTTTTATCCAGTTGGTGATGGTTTCAACACCACGAATGGGCCTGCACCTCAGCCAATGCAATGTGGGCCAGGTAGTGTTGGCAATATGGATGCAAATTCGCAGTCCTCACGAAATCCGAACATGCCTGGTGGTCCAGGTTCAGTTGGCGGCTTCAGCTCACCTGGTGCAACAGCAAACAATCTTTTAATCGACTATAACCCGACGGGGTAGATCTATTTTTGGGTCTTACACTTTTCTAGCTTCGCATACTGCTGTTTTACTATCGGTGCTATAACTTGCAGTTTTTGATGTCTTAATAACTTCTTTTCAGTGATCCGTTTCGTTCACCTAATCCGCCGAACAAAGCTCTTCCAGCGACTGGTAAGGGAGCGGGTTTAAATGTGATTGGCGGTGACACTTTAGGTCCACTGCCGCAACCTGATGCTCCTTCAGTGACCAAAGAATGGCATCGGGATGTAACAACAGATCTTCGCATGCACTTAGTTCATAAACTAGTCAAAGCTATTTTTCCGTCACCAGATCCCGCTGCCATGCATGATCAGAGAATAAAGGATCTCATTTCTTATGCTAGAAAAGTCGAAAAAGAAATGTTCGAGCATGCCGATGATAGGGTTCGTTGTTACAGCCGTCGCTCGTGATTTATTTATTTATTTTTTTTTTTTAAAAACAGTTGCGTAGTATAGCGGAATTGTATTTTTTGCATGACGTGGGTTTATTTGGTTTACACCAGCCTCTTCTGTAAATGAAATATTTCTGCAGGACGAATATTATCATTTGTTAGCGGAAAAAATTTACAAGATACAGAAGGAGTTGCAAGAGAAGAAACTCAGAAGGATGCATGAACAGAACAGCAGAGCAGGAGGTGGTGCTTCTACCTCTAATGCACAGCCAGGTTTGAACAGTAAGTTCATATTGAATTTCTGATACTCTGTGCATGATTCGGTACTTATTCTACGTTGTTGTAGACGCGGTGGATAATAGTGATATGGCCACCAACAGGGCAAGTACGTTCCAAGCTGCTACTGCTACGTCCTCTGCCGCTCAAATGAATGCTCCGTTTTCTGGTAAGTTTGTGAACTTCTGAATTGTTTCACTGAGTGTAAAAATCGCGTTTAAGTTGATTATTACTACCTTATTTTAAGCAGAGTGTGTAAGGTACAGTGTGAGAGTTTATTTTTTAGCGACTCATAGTTCAACAACTGGACAGATGCCAAATGCTGTTGTAAAGACGGAAGCAGTAGAGAGCGTTCCAAATGGAGTCATGTCTTCAAGGTCCTTTGAGGAAAGTGCCGGCTGTTCCTGTATGTTTTAACGTTTTGAGGACTGTAAGAGTTTGATGTACAACGGAATTTGTAACATTTTTCATTCCAGCAAAACCAGGAACGTCTGCGGCTGCGGACAGCGGGAAACCGCTGAGAACTGATTCAAGCAGTTCGGCTACCATTTCAGCAAAGAATATTAAAGTTGAGCCAAAAGATGAAGCTGCAGAAGAGAAGAAAGACGTACCTGAGAAGGTTGTTACATTTATTTTTCGTTTTAGTACTCATGAATTTTGTGTCATGCCGTATTTTTCAATGAAATTTTTTTAGATATTTGATGCTAACGAGTTAAGGAATCATTTGAAACCTGTTTTGGAAAGAATGATTGAATTGGATGAATCCATACCATTCAGGATGCCTGTAGACCCCGTCAGTTTAGGGATTCCGGTAACTGTCTTTTAAATATAGTTTTAAAAGTTCAATATCGTGGTACAAATACTTACACCATAATGTTTTTAGGACTATTTCGATATTGTGAAAAAGCCAATGGACCTCTCTACTATAGGCAAAAAGCTTGACAGTGGTGCTTATAAGAATCCAAGACAGTTCTGTGATGACATGTGGTTGATGTTTGATAATGCTTGGTTGTATAACAAAAAAAGTTCGAAGGTTTACAAATATTGTACAAAGGTGAGTAATTGTCCCTTAATTTTTATGATCTCCTCTAATCCGAAGTCAACGTTTATGGATTTCATCATTACAGTTGAGCGAGACATTTGTTGATTTGATCAATCCTGTAATGCGAAATATGGGGTATTGTTGCGGTGAAAGGTTGGCGTTTACTCCCTTGGCACTATTTTGTTACGGACAGTCTATGTGCACCATTGCTCGCGATCAGGCTTATTATGTATATGAAGCAACTTCCACTCAGTATGGTGTAACTGTGTCAGATCGTTATACGTACTGTGTAAAATGCTATGGTGCGCTCCCTGAAGCTGGCATTAGTCTTAGTGAGAATCCAAACGATACATCGAAGTAAGAACTTTGCGTCTGGATGTTTCTTCTGTCTTATCAAAGATTATTAATTATTTTTTACTTAATCCTCATTCGTCTTTAGCATGGTTCCGAAGTCGAAATTTGTACTTATGAAGAATGACCAGATTGACGAGGAGCCTTTTGAACAGTGCAAAGAATGTCACAGAAGTTGGCACCGCATTTGCGCTCTTTATAACAGAAAGGTAGGAGATAAGGTATTCGACTTTTTTTTTTTTTATTTTAGTTATCGTTCTACTGTATTTTCTCCAGGTGTTCCCAGAAGGATTCATCTGTGAGCATTGTCGTGAGGAGAAAGCTTTAGCAAAACCTGAAAATCGATTCACGGCGAAAAAGCTTCCGCACTGTAAACTTTCTCAGTTTATTGAAGATCGCGTCAACAAGTTTTTGAAATCAAATCCAGTCGGCAAAGAATGCGAAGTGGTTATTCGTGTTCTTTGCGCTACGGATAAAGAAGTTGAAGTTAAACCGTTGATGAAGCAAAAGTAAGAGCTTCTTTTCTCAATTGTTACCCAATTTTTTGGCATGAGGCGTCTTCCTAGTCCCTTCTAAGGTTCTTACAATTTTTTTTAGGTATGGACCTGTTGGCTTTGCTGACAAGTTTCCGTACCGAACGAAAGCTATCTTTGCATTCGAAGTGATAGACGGTACGGAAGTTTGTTTTTTTGGTCTTCATGTACAAGAGTATGGGAGTAATTGTCCACCGCCAAATCAAAGGTTCGTTATCTTAAAACACTTCATTTTAATTGACGTGAAACATTTCTTTATTTTTTTCTCTACTGTTTTTACTAACTGGGGACGGGGATTTGAATAGAATTGAAGAACCAGATGTCTGGTACGGAATTGTTTTGAAATTGGTGCAGTGGTAAGCTTTATGGTTTTTCAGCGCGGTTTGTCCAAAGTGAATGAAAGTTATTAGGTTTGGCAATGGTTTTATCGGGACATTGCTAAGTAGAAGGACGTAAAAATCCGGACCTATTTGCTTTTTATATATTTCATTAAGCAATTGTAGTTTTTTGCAATTTTTTTTAAACAGACATTGATTACAGTGATTTGGTTCTTGAGTGGAGGCAATAACTTTTTTCAGTGGCTGCTTCGATTTTTTGATTTCTAAATTTTGCAACACCGAATTCTTTTTCTCTTGCTTTCGTCAGTTACTGGTGAAATTCATTCTTGAATCTTCAATTTTAATGAAGGAATATGAACTTAGAAGATTTTGGTCCAACTTTTTATCGAAACCTTGAAGAATGTGAAGTCTTGTAGTTCTGGTATGTTTTAGGGTCAGGAAAATTCACTACGGTCTTTTAGCGCTTTTGGCACTTTTTTACGAACGTCTTTTTGAAAAATTGAAGAACCAACCATTTGTTCAGTTTTGCAGGCAGTCGTTCGACATTTATAACCTTTCTTTGTTGTAGATCAATAGATTCATTGTGATGACTATACATTCGAGCTACTTTTAGGCGCGTATATATTGCATATCTTGACTCGGTGCATTTCTTCCAACCAAGACAGCTGCGAACAGATGTTTATCATGAAATTTTACTCGGTTATCTTCATTACGCCAATCAGTTAGGCTACACGATGGCACATATTTGGGCTTGTCCGCCATCTGAAGGCGATGATTACATATTTCACTGCCACCCACCTGAACAGAAAATTCCTAAGCCTAAAAGATTGCAAGATTGGTATAAAAAGATGTTGGACAAGGGCGTTAACGAACACACTGTATTTGATTATAAAGACATTTATAAACAGGTATGTTTGGGGGCACATTTTTTCTGGCTTTATAATGCTGTATTTTGCTAATATATCTAATTTTACAGGCTAGGGACGACAACTTCAGTACACCTATGTCACTTCCATACTTTGAGGGGGACTTCTGGCCTAATGTTATAGAAGATTGTATTAGAGAAGTCCAGAATGAAGAAATGGAGCGTAAACGTCAAGAAGAAGCCGCTCAACAAAATGCAGATGATGATGATGAGGACGATGTATTTCATTCAGGTGACAACCCGAAGAGTAAGAAGAATTGGTAATGCGTTCAGAAATTTTTTTTTGCATTTGATTAGCCAATTTCTTCTTATTTACTTATGTTGCGTATTATTTTTCAGTAAGAAAAAGAATAACCTCAAGAAAGGGAACATGAAGAACAAAAAGAAGGTGGGAGCTGCCACAGGGAATGAAGTTACAGATAAACTGTATAACAATTTTGAGAAGCATAAAGAAGTTTTCTTCACAATTCAGTTGATGTCGCCTCAGCAACAGTTGACAGCGCAAAACAAAGAAATTAATGTAATTTTTAAAGTTTTATCTCTTTTATCACTAATATTATTATCAAATGTTTGACTTTCTGTTTAGGACCCTGATCCTCTGATGCCAAGTGAACTAATGGATGGAAGGGATACATTTCTAACTCGTGCGAGAGATGAACACTGGGAGTTCTCATCTCTTCGTCGAGCGAAGTACTCAACAATTTGCTTCTGTCATGCTTTACACAACCAGGAGAAGGGTGAAGGATTGTCATACACGTGTAATAACTGTCAGGGTTCTGCTGTTTGGCACTGTGCTACTTGCGACGTAAGTTGCGTTTCGTTAATTTGTTCTTGTTTTTCAAGCTTCTTCACTTCCGTAACATATAGTTGAGCTATCTTTGTAGGATTTCGATCTTTGCAACAAGTGTCATGAAACGCTTCCTCATCAGCACAAACTGGAGAAGGTTTTGGTTGAGGTTGGTGGTGAAGATAAGCAAGATTCTGGAAGCTCAAGGAACGAAAGCATTCAGGTATATAAATTTAACGGAGTGATGAATTTCTGGCTCATCATTGCTGTTGTTTTCTGTTTGTGATTTATTCCTTATTTCTTTAGCGTTGCATCCAGTCACTGGTTCACGCTTGCCAATGCCGAGATGCGAACTGTCGTCGCGGCCCATGTCACAAGATGAAAAGAGTTGTGCAACACACGAAAGTTTGCAAAAAACGTCAAAATGCAAACTGTCCTGTATGCAAGCAACTTATTGCTCTTTGTTGCTACCATGCTAAACATTGCAATGGACAAGCTTGCCAGGTAAGTAATGCTTTCGTTGTTTATTATTTCTTTTGTAATAACTTTCTTTATGAAAAGTTGTTAAGGTTCCATTCTGCGTCAATATTCGGCAAAAATTGCAAGAACAAAGGCGTTCTCAAAATCGTCGCGCTGATATGATGATGAGAAGACGTATGGATATGCTTTCAGCTGGTGGCAGTGGGGCTTCAGGTTCTTCACAAGGAAATCACCCGAATGGTATGCTGACAAAATATTTTAGTTGTAGCTGTTAAAACTGTTGGTTTTGGATATTGTCTTTGGTTCTTGTAACAACTAGGGTTTTTCAGGTCCAAATGGGGGCATGGTAATACCACAGCCAACAACAAGTCAGCACGGCGGAATGCAAATGCCTGGATATCAGAGTCAAAATCAACAGTACGGAACAGCTCAGCCGATGCACATGGGACAGTCAATGGGGATGATGACTGGGAAACCGACACATATGGGTCAGATGCAGCAAATGCATTCTCAACAACAGTATCAGTCACACGGAAAGGGTTAGTATGCGTAATTTTATTGGCGACGTCGTACATTAGGCAGACAACTGTGTACATTACTTTCCTGCTGCTTTTTCTGAACAAACTGAATTGTTTTGTAGGTGGCGGAATTTCAACGCCTATTCATATGATGGGGCAACAGCAGCCAATGGCTCAGATGCAGCAGCAGAATGTCCGAATGAACATGGTATGTTTCGTTACATGATTTAATGTTTTAGTAGCTTTTACCATTTTAAAGGGTTTCTAATCAGTTTTTCAAGCATCCTCAGACGTCAATGCAACAGAGGTCGCAAATGGGTGCACACAGCCAACAGACGATGAATCCTCCTCCGTACGTGCGAAATGGTTCACAACAAGGTGGTTATGCAATGTCTAATCCAGCTTCTTCAAATCCTTACGGTGCACCAGGAGGTCACATGATGATGAATCAAAATCCAATGCAGCAAAATCCTCAACCACAGCGAATGATACACTCGCAACTTCGAGGTACTTGGTCTAACTTAGATTCCTTCTGTCGTTTTCCCGCATGTGTAGAAGTGTCGTTTTTATTGCTTTTCTTCTTTGGTAGTCCTTAAGAAAAGTCATATCATTCTTTCTACAGCAAAAGTTTATTCGGGGGCTCCAGATAACATGCGTCCTTCCGACTCGCAAATGCAACAGATAATTCAAAGCTTAAAGAACGCACGTACGATGGAGGAACGAGAAAAAATATTCAGTGATTTGAAGAAAATGCCGCATTTGTTTGCTGCATTCTTGAAGATGAAGGGGAATCCTTCAGAGGTACGTTGTTTTTAGGACTGCTGATTGCAAGTGGGAGCTATGTTTTAATAAACTTTCTTTTAGCTGCAAGGTGGGCAAGGAACCCAACAACAAGTAACTCCTATGCAACAACAAGGCATGATGAGACAGCAACAGGTAATCGGCTGTTTTAGAAGAACAGGCGGTGTTTTTAGAAGTATATGTTATATGGAAGTTACATTAATTTACCGTAATACCCGTTTTTGACTGCGCTAATAGAGATATCTTTTAAGCAGATGGTTAACCAAGGAGGGCAGTGGCCACAGGGAGGAATGAGTGCTCAGCAGCAGTTTTACCAGCAGCAGCCAGGAAACAGTGCACAAGGACAGCAGCAGCCTCGTGGACCGGGTGGTCAGTATGCACCAATGGTGTCGCAACCGCAGGTTGGAGGTGGTCCAGGAAATCAGTCACAGCAGTGGCATCAGTATTCTAGAAACGCACAGTCAGTTAGTCCAGCTATGCAACAGCAGTTTAATCAGGTAGGTATATTCTCAGTTGTTTTCTGACTGTTAGTAACGATGTTGATTCATTTTACTAAGTTGTTCGCTTCTTTTTCCCGGTATGGGAGCGTTAGAGTTTAACTTTTCTTACTGTTGTCTCATTTCGCTGTTATAGCATATTTCTTTGTAATTGTAGGAATAAGATGAAATTTTATGATTCATTTTTAATTAGAAACTAGGCTTCAAAGTAGAAGTTAAAGAGATCGTTTACTTTTATTGCAGGTGCGTTCTCCTCCCTTAGGCAGACCGTCATCGGTAGGCGGTGTTTCAGCTTCACAAATGGTGCAGTCTGCTGGAACACCGCAAATGCCACAAAATGTTAATCAGGACCAGCAGCCATATAGATAGATAATCGGTTAAAAATTTTCTCTCATATCCCTGTCTGCCGGTCGAGCTGTTTCTTATGTCATTTGATCTGCAGGCCCACTCTTGTGTTGGCGTGCATAGTAGTGGCGTGCTCATACAGAGTAACAAGATTCTAATTTTCTGAGTTTTACACGTTTGTAGTTCTGCTTAACTGAACAGAATAGTTTGTAGTTTTGGTCAGACCTTTCTCGTCTATTTTTATGAGCGCCTGATATCGCCACTTTGCTATTTTTGGTTTTGAAACGGGTTACTTCTTGACGGCTCATGAAGTTCTATGCTGGAGTCGCAATTTTGGGTGTCCTCAATGATCTGAAGATTATTTTTGTTGTTGATGAGTGTAATTTTCCTTCATCTTTTTGATCTACAGTGTATTCCCATGTAGCTTTCTCAATTGTAGTTTTAAACTCTCGAGCCGTTGTGCCTGCCTTGCGATTTGTATTGGTGCGCGAGTCCTCTCGTTTGTTAGTGTTTTTCGCTCTGTGAAGTCATTAGCCTTCCTGCGATATTTTGTTTGTTGTACATAACTTGTTGAGCAACGCCTGCGGCGGTTATCTCCTTTATCAGTGCTCGTTTTTGTTTCATTTTGCTTTCCGAAAGTTTTCTAGTTCATGTATGTTTTTGCAGTTCTTAAAGCCAGTCCGTCTTACTGGGTATATGTGATTTGAGATTTCCTGAAGAAATTGTTGGAGTAAGCTTAATTAATGAGGGTTTTTTAGTTGAAAGAGTAAGGTTTTTTATTTTGTTAGGCTTTTTTACAAGTTGTGGATAACTAGTTCCGTAGTTTACTTTCTATATCTCAAATTTTTATGGTTTTTTAATTGGTGCCTTTCTCTTTCGTCATATTCTAATTCTCACTGGGTTAGCAGTTCTATCTTCAAATCTTGACAGCTATACAGTGGAGAAGCGTTAAGCTTAGTTTCCTGTAAAGCTAGTGTGTGTGTGATGTTTTCTTGCTGAATTTTCGGGTGGTGTTTTATCATTATTACTTTACCACTTATAGACGTCGAGAGGCAGATTATATATGCAACTCTGTGATATAACGACGCTGTCCATCATAACGGTTCATTGCGCTTCGTTTTAGTTTTTTGCTTTTCCTTGAACGATAGGCCAGAATTCCAGAAATTTTTTGTCGTTTAAGGGGATCATCAGACTGTATCATGATAATCACTTGAGCTTTTTAAAGTTTTAGAGATAGGGGATTGGGACCGAATTCTGGCATATTTTGTTTTTACAATTCAGCGGTAGTGTTCTTAGACTAATATATTTCATATATACATATATATACACGCATGTATATGTATATATATTCATATTGCAAATTGTTCATGTTGATATGGTGTTGTCTTTAATGCTTTTATTACTTCCAGTATTGTTTCCCCTTCTGGCGCATTGAAACGTCTGTTCCCACTTCGTCGGTTTCTCCCGTGTTATTGTAGTTTTTGCTGTAACCTTTCTGAGCGATGCTCACCATTATTTATTGCAAATGCATTTTTAAATTTTTTATTTTGCGTTGTTAAATTTTATGTTTATACATGTTTTGAGAAAAGTTAAGTAATATATAAACTAACTATGATTGATTTTTTTGATGACAAAATACAACAGTTTATAAGAAGTGAGCTAAATTATTGAGACGGAATACTGCAGGGTAGTGATGCCGGAAAATAAATGGAGAGTTGGACGAAAAGTCTGTTCAAATAGACGATTGGAAATGAGATGGATGTGGTTGTCGCGAAGGGTTTTAAGTTCATCTTGGCGGGTGTTTTTTAGTGTTGATGTTTCTTCATTCAAAATTCTTAGGTTCTTGTTCATAGTTTTTTTTTATTTGGAGGAGGGGGTGCTTGCCTAGAATGGAGCTGAGAAATGCTGGCAGGTTGGAAGAAGAATGGCTTGCTTGGCTTGAAAATACTCATAAAGAAGAATCTGGCATTGCACAACACTGACCGACTGCAGCGTATTTGTTCTGTGTATATGGTTGTGACCGACTTTAGTGTTGACGTTACGCTGTTGATGACCGACTACTGTAGTGTAGTTATCTACACCTACACTGATTGGAGGCACAGCATTTGAACTACCGCCTTTTTGCAGTGGTTAACAGTCCTTTTTCAAAGCAGTTCTTTTGGAACTGCTCAATTTTTCCGCATTCGATAATAAGCATTCTTGTACTTTTTCTTTTTCAGTCTCAACACAGCTACTCAGCAAGATCTTAGCTACTGTAATTGGTTGGAAAAGAAAATGATATTAGAAAGGCAAAAACTCCAGCAGTCCACTGAGTTGATGAAATATATATTTTTTTTTTGTCTACTTTGTCTTGTTTTACATAGTCATTATATACATATATACAAAAATATATGTACCTATGGATATCATTGTACGTTATTTTTGCCATTTGTAGATAAAATGAATTTAGAAATATTTCTGTAGATAAATAAGCAGTAGCCGAGAATTAATTATCGAGAACCGGAAAGTAGAGGCAATGGGGAAAGAGATTATACAGAATAGTAATAGTATTAAAACAGCAATTCTATCAGCTTATTAATTGTGGCATAATTAGTTTTTGTTTGGTTACTTTAGTAGATCTTATAACAAAACATGGATTCTATTCTCACAAACATCTGTGTACTCGTCATTAATCGACCAACTCTGCTAAAGTCTTCTCGATTTTTTTTCACTGTTGTATTCAGCATGCAATATTCTGGGGGTACCCTAAATGCTTTACAACTTCAAATCATAACAATTTTCCGGCGAGGAGGAGCGTGGTAACTAGAAAAAATTTCTCATGTTTTAGACAATGTTTTATTGGGGAAAATTTTCTATCATATCTATCACTTTCCATGCTTTCTTAGCGCAGCTGTCTTATCTGTAAATTTGAGCTAATATAAGTGCAGTAAACCATATGGAAGAAGGAAAAAGAAGTAACAGATAATTGAATTTATGATGCGCTTTTATGTCGTTGTTGATTAATCCAAAGGTTGTCTATG